ATTTATATATATATAATTTTTTTATGTAGAACAACGTCATAGTTTTCGTACGAACTGAGGGCGCCATCTGGTATTCGTTTTCGACACTATAACTGCTATTTTTATTTTGGATGTTTTGATTTATGACGTTATTCAAAAATTCCAAATAACGTTGAAGAACCATTAATGTTATTTTCTTTGTCATTAAAATTATTTTATTAAATTAATATTTTTATGAATATAAATTCGCGTTTTATCGGGATATTTCGTAAATTTCAGGCGAATATCACAAAATTTCACTGTCAGAAACCACGATATCGACATCGAGTATAAATAGGCATGATGTCAATTCATTGAATACTTTGAAAGTCTTTCCTGCTGAGTTGCTCATTGCTAAGTACAATGAGAAGTTTGGACAATGTCGTTAGATTTTGTTTAAAAAAAAAGAAACGGAAAAACAACAAAAATCAGAAATTTAAACTTAAAATCTGTGAAGGATAAAGACATTTCGTGGGCCGTAGGCACAGAAGATTAAGGCCCATCTACATAATTTTACATCATTAACGAATAATGTCTAATTCCAGCTATAGAATTATTTATAAATTATGATATACGACTGCAACAGTAAAATTGCTTTATTTTTTCTAATTTCGGAGTCCGAGATCCGAGTGCCTAGTGGATAATCTGGACTACTTTGGAATCACAAATAGAATATGAAATACTAAACGACAAATTCTATTGTAAAGCAGTGGTGCATCAAGAGTAAAGCCTTGTAAAGCAGTGTAAAGCCTTGATGCGCCACTGCTTTACAAGGCTCTTTCTTTTTCCTTTGAGGGTGCCAAGGGGTTCTGGTACTCTCAAAAGAAAAGGAGAAAAAAACACTAGAAAATTTACCAAAAACTCTTCCCAAATTAAATTATTTTGTTTTTTTATTTATATTGTATTGTGTCTTATGAATTAGCGGTCACATAAGATGGGATTTTTATCGAATTAGCATTAAAATGTTTTTATCAGTTAAAACTCGGCTCCGGAGTGCGCCACTGTTGCAAAGTATTGTTTTTTTGAACATTATTGACTTAAATAATAGTTATAATAATTATATATTTATTGTAATTTGCGAAGAGTTTGTTACACTCTACATAGCGAGAATTATTCGTGACGTGAGAATGTTACTTGTGACGTTTTGTACGGTACACGAGAACAACGACGAGATTTTCGTGCTCGTCCGCCATTTTGTTTTCAAAATGGCGACCGGTTTAATGATTAAGCTCTCTGTTATTAATGTTTCAAATTAGCAAAAGTTTATTTTTATAAAAGAATAATATTTAAAAATTTAGTTTATTCGTGTTATTTCATTATTTTGAATTTTGTTCTATGCAGAAATTATGGTCATATAACAATTATTTCTTTCAAATAACATACAATTTGTCCTTATGAATTAGTAAAATTTGATTAAAAAATTAAAAAATTTCTTAAATTTAACTTAAAAAATAATGAATTTATTTACTATTTCCCTACAATTTTTTATTCTGCGCTAATTAATCGTTAAAAATTTAAATAAATTAATTAAAACGTATATTATTCTGTTAAGTACCAAATTTCAAAAGAATAAAAACATGCAATTTATTTAAAAAAAACATAAAAATAATTTTAAAATATAAAATTATCTATTATTATTAAATTAAAACTATGCTTTTATTGATTATTACATGCAGGGCCGGATCAGACGTCTGTTTTTCGGGCCTAAGACCGATAAACCGCTCTCAGAGGGGGCCCCACACTTCCAAATTTCTAAGAAAATTGGATAATAGAACTTATTTGTTCTCTGTAATTCTTTGTCAAGTATAAAATTATAAGAAATTTCTACTAAAAAC